ATATCCCCCCCCCCCCATTATGTGCTAAATTTCGAAAAATATTAATTTTGTCACTGCAGATCGAAAAAAAGACAGAGAGAGAGACGGACATGAAGGGAAGAACGTCTGCTTGTTCCCACTAATTTACTACAAATAGCAGGAAACATCCGTGTTTTTTAGTACTATGGCCCTGAAATCGGTTTTTCTGTTGAAAAATCAGCACTTTGGCAAGCAGTATTACAATTTCTTTTTCATACTACTGTGTAAAAGAAAGTGAAATAAGAGTTTTCAAAATGTTCCTCTATGTGTGCACGATTGTGGGGGTTGTATAGTAAAAATTTAATAATTAGTTGATCCAAGGTGTAGCAGTCAGACCAGTTTGGGGGTCAGAGCGCTCGGTTTCCATCGCTGGTGCTGGAGATTGTTCTCCATCTGGAAAGAAGTAGAATTTTTGATGAACAAAAAGGGATATGGCAGGCTCTTATACCTCACATCATTACATGCATTACAAAACACCTTGTTGGGAAGACTCGCAGATGGTAGTCTTGAGATTTCTCCGGAACTATGCTCATCTCCAAGATAAATCTGGCCATACGACAAACAATGTTTGTGAAATAACTTTTGCAATGAGTTTATTAAAATTAATTTATCTTAATTAATTAATTTATTGAAATAATGTTTTATTAAAATGGACCAGCTTAAATAATGCTTATCTTGTCAATCTGCTAATTCTGGCAGAGTAGAGTTTTCCACTATGACTACCGTAACTTTGGAGTTCACATACTTGCAGAGGTTCTAATGTGGGTTCACAGCTTTATGCTATGATCCATCATGCTGCACAAAAACTCTCTATTTGTAATTATTTCCACCACATTAAACTTTATGAAACCAAACATAATTCCTTTAGCATTATGAGGGTGAGAGGGTTTTTTATGGTGCAGGATACTGATGGGATATTTCTCTTAAATCCTATATCCATACTAGGGCATCTCACTTACCAGTATGAAGTCACTACTTGTATCCTTGCTTCCTAAAATAAGATGCATGCTTTCTAATCGACCTTTAATCAACCCAATGGTTATGGAAGAAGATGGAAGAAGAGTAACAACACACTTATACCTAAAAAATCAATGCATTATATTTACTTTACATTATTTTCATTAATAATTTGAATACTCTGGTACATAATAAAATAGATAAATCTCAAAAATACACTTAAAGCTGGATCATAGGTACAGAACAATGTGATCAGTAAATATTAGTACATTCCAATATTTTCTTAAAAAGCACATTTAAACTTCTCACATTACAAATTATATTGGTAACAGCACAACATAGGAGGACACACAAGAGAAAATCTGCTAAACATTCAAGAAAGAACAGGAATAAATTTGATGTGGAGCAGAACATCATGCAAAATAATTTTATATACAAATGCACATTATTTTAAAAGATCTATTTTAACATTTTCTTATTTATGTGTACTCAGTGAAATCATCCATGTGAACTCTACGTGACAGAGGAGGAGAAGGTAGAAGGTCACCACCGCTTGAGCTGTCGCTTGAAGAAGTTACTGTCTCCTGCAATACTTTGTTTCGTAACCTTTTAATTTGGCGCAGTCGCTCCAACCAGTTTGACGCGTATGGTCCTTGCCCTTGAGCTTTTAAACTACGAGATACCATTGAAGCAAGCTACAACAAACAAATCAATGCAGATAACTATCAAATTTCAAATTACTGAATTCAAATAGCTGTATACTATTTACTTACATTTGCATGCAGAGCTAACTGACGAGCTAAAACAGCAACATTTTGATCAGACATAATTTTCGGCTCACTATGACCAATTATGTCTGATAATTCGTCTCTTGTTTTAACAGTTACAATATTTGTGGCGTGGTCTAAAGGCTGAACTACGACACATGCATAGTTGAACTGACCCTAGAAATAAAATTAACAATACACAAGATCAAAGAAAACTGGATATCAAATATCATCAAGGATTAAAATGACAGTGTCCAAATGATCTTCTTAGAACAAACCTTGACTGTTTGAATGTTATATTCTTCTCCGCTTTCATTATACACTATTGTGACAAAATCATTGCCAATGTGTAATTTTTTGCCATTGCACAGTGGGTCATTTTCTTTATTAGGCATTAGAGTAGCAACATGAAATGTAACCTGTAAAGAATATTTATAATAAGAAAAATGATATAAATGTCAAAAATCACAATGATACAAAAATACTACACTGTCCAGGCACATTAAAGTCACCACCCATCAAAATCCCCGAATAACCCACTTTAGCAGCACTGACCACTGCAAGATGTACAGGAACAGTGTCAATTTGATTCTAGTAGGTACTGTCAGGGATGTGGAGCCCTGCCAACTCCACAGCCGTGACAAACCATGCTAGGTTCCTCGATAGCGGTTCCATGGCACAAACAACAGCCTGATCGAGAAGGATCCAAAGAATATCGCTTGTGTTTAAATCAGGGGACATTGGTAGCCAGGGGAGTACAGAAAACCTACCCTCATGCTCTTCGAACCACGTACGTACTTGAGAGCTGTATGACATGTTGCATTGTCCTGCTGGTAGATGCCGACATGCAGATGAAAAACGACCTGCATATTAGGGACATTGTCTCTTTCCTCTGGTCTTGACCTGATCGGTGACATGTGTATGATTGCAAGGTATTTGCATTCAGGCATTTCATTTTGTGTATGCCAGTTACGGTATTGGAGCGCCAATTCTTCTACTAGAAGATTTCACTTCATGCTTTCAGTTTTCATCATGGCTTTGCAGAGATGAAGATAAAGTAATGAAGCTCGTTGACAAGACTTCTAAAAATATATCTGACTTGCTGCAAAGCTACCTTATCTCATCTCTTGTGCTCACTCTCTAAATTCCTTGTCTACACCTGACTCCTGAAATTAACAGGTTTTCCTTCTATATTGTCTAGAAAAAGATCAGGTTGACTGCTGAAAAGGTATCAGCCCTCTTTTTCACTCATATAGTTTCGTGTTGCCCAATATCTGCTGAAAAGCTAATATTGGAGGCATTAGGCAGAATGTGCCAAGTGTTGTTCCGGTCATAATCAGATACCTTATCATCTTTCTCTGTGACCCCCACATTTACCGTATAGAGCATGATTTGCACGACTCAAAAATAAAAATTCTAAAGTGGCCTGGTCTGGCCTTCCTCTTTCTCCATAGTTACCATTTTGGTGTGACAAGGAGAGAGATGGTAAATAAATGTGTAGAGACAACATAAAGAGGGCTAAATCTAGACTTGAATTTACCATGTCTAAGATCAACAGGACAACTGTGCAACAAAGGCGCAACTGGGGAGCATGGAATTCCCTCATCATTCGTCACTTTGTTCTACTGCTACTAAAAAGAAACGTAAACCAAGGCTTCAATGTTCCTGTGTAAGGGAGAATGGTAAAGAAAAGTTTGTTTTCCTGTCTGTGTGGGGACATGAGGACAAGATTGGATTAACAAAGTTCATTTTAAGATATGTAAGACTTAAAAGAACTTAATTGAAATAAAACTTTTCATACCATGGAGTCATTCAAGCAAAATATAGATAAGAGTACATAATATGGTTAAAGATGTGTGATGCAGAAAAGTTTTTATTGGATTACCTGCATTACATCATCCTGCCAAATGTAGGCAAATTTTCCATCATTACCATTCCTATCTAAACCACCTAAGAAGATATTTTGAGGGTCTGCATCCTTCAGTTTGATTAATGTTCCCAGCCTCTGAAAACACAAAAAAAAAATTTACTGAAAGAGTAGAGAATAAAAAAATTAAAAAGTACAATCTTCAAAATAAACAAACTCATCGAGCATCTATTAACTTTTTTTTTTTCTAAATATTTGTGTTCATCCCATCAATGCCTAAATACATTTCATATATACACAGGTTTATACGCTCTTGAAGATTACAAAATATTAGTGTGTCATAAAATAAGTATTGTCAATTGTTGCA